CTTTAGCTGACAGAGCAGCCCACTTTGAGCTTTGATGCTCTATCCAGAACGCCTCGAATGGAAAAGCTTTATTTCAATTGGGCTTAATTTCGCAAAAAGTCTTCAATATTTGGCTATCCAATTATTAACAGATAAATAAAAAAAAAAAAATTATGAACTGATTAATCGGTTTTGAAAATAATCAGTTGCAGCCCTAGTTCCATGCATTCATATTTACAGCAAAGATAACCCTATTTTAGTGTTGATGCAAGATCATCTGCATCTTGTGAAATTTTTTAATTCAAGAAAAACCAAAAAATTATGATGGATCACCAAAGAGATGTTGGTTTGATAACAGCGTGGAATTTTAAAGGTTAACTATCTAATTCAGCTCTATGCCACCATGAAGAGTTCAGCATCAGGACAGAAAAATGCAAAAGCTTTACAAAACAATCTAAAACATTCTTGTATATCAAACATGGAAAAACTAAATCTGTGCCACAACTTGAATGCAACTTTGCACTTTAGGGGGCAAAAAAAAAAAAAAAGGATTATTGATATTAAATAGCTAAAGCGCTGCTTCTGGCACAAATGTGTGCAGAAGGAGAGACATTTAGAAAATAACGTTGCAACAACCTAACAGCACAAACCATGAAATTACTTGATTTATCTATAGTTTTCTTGGATCAAACATGATTATGAAATATCAAAGCTTTCTGGGAAAGTGGGTCAAACAAGACAAAAATCCAAAATGCAGCAGCCTTTAATGATGCTCTCTAAAGAAGAATCTCACTTTTTCAATATTACAGAGAGGACATACAGCTACTGTAATGTAAAAAGGAGGTAAGGTGTTCTCCAGCAGTTAGCTGGTTTTAGAGCGCCATGCTGCATGGGGTGTGTCCCTCGTTAACAGACACAGAGGCAGATATCTGGTTTAGTAGTGGATTTACCGTGATTCTGACATGTACACACAACAAGCCCAGTAGGTAGGAAGATATATAGAATGAATGAAAAAAAAACGGCAAAGGAAATAATGAGCTGTACACTGCAATATAAGGAGAAAAAAAAATTAATAAATTCAGGCATATCACATTTAGATGGAGTGCGTTCAAAAGGGTTGGAACGCTTCCAATGCGTTCATGAGCGTCAGACATATAAAAACTCACCAAAAACACAATATAGATGAACAGTTCCTAATGGAAAAATACCTAAACAAAATGGGCTTTCTATTCTAACAAAAAGATAAAATAAATAAAACAAAATCACAGACCTTTTTTCTTGAAACCCTTGTCCCTTGCAACCAGTCCAAGTCCCATCATCTTTGGCCCTGCACCATAAATCTGCAACTTCTTGAGCTCGGGGTTCTTCTCTATGTCTTCCTCTGTTGGTTCAGGCTGAAAAAAAAGGACACTCTTTCATTATGAAGTCACAGATAGACAACTACTACAGCTACTATACAAACACACAAACAAAGCAACAGCCAAGTGACAACCAAGTGCAGAGCAAACTAAAACTTAAGCACATAATAATGCATAGGAATGCGTCACAAGAAAGGATTAGGGACTGAAAGTAAGGAAATGTTAACCACCATCTGTGACAGACCACCCAACACTAGGAAACACAACCACCAGCAGATGCTACCACAGGCAACAACATTCATCATTTCCTTACCAACTATGTTAGTAATATTAGCACCGTTTTTAAAAGAGGGATAAACTAAAACATATTTCAATAGATTAGGTATTTAATGTTTTTAGAAATTGTTAGCAAAATTGATAAAGTCCAAATTATAAACAGGCATCAGTATATTTATATATGTATTTTTTTTTTTTTTTTTTTTTTACAGTGTGCATAAATAATGGGGGGGAAAAAAACTGATTGTCCCTTTCGATTCGCGTGTGTTGCGTTCGGTTCATGCGCTGCTCCTTTTTCTCATAGGCGAAGCGTTTACACTCCAGAGCAGAAGGTGGCGGTACTGCGACCAAAGCCAACCACCAGTAGTAAACAAGAAGAAGAAGCGAAGCAGCTTAGCCGGGTGTAGCAGAAAAAAAATCAGTTGTTGTGGAGAATTGTGTGGGTATGGCGAGTGGGAAAGAACAGGCGTTGGAAGACGCGCCAGCAGCACTTTATAGGTCTGCTGTATGGGACCACTTTGCATTTAGAGTGACCTACGATGACGGCAGAAAGAAAGTTGTGGATAAAAGTGCAACAGTGTGCAAGCATTGTGCAACGCGTGTTGTTTATGCTAACAGCAACACGACGACCAGGTCAGGCTAACAATCAACATATACCGAACCAAAAACCGTGAACCGAACCGTGGATTTTGTGAACTGTTTTACCCCTACTCTAAAACCAGCTGGAACTATACTGATTGATTGACATCATTGATCTCATAGTAGAGAAATTTGCTCCTTACATCAGCTCAAATTGTCAAAGAAAAAGGAGCCAAAGGAAGACAAATTTGCATGGGATATACAGTATATACAGAGCGTCCAATGATGACAGCTTTTTTTTTTTTTTAAATATACCATTTATATCTGCATACACATATAAAATGTATATTAGTGTACAGCGGCATTTTCTTCTCGTGCAAACAGTTTAAAATGATTTGAGTCTAATAACATCACCAGGTCTGCATCAGTTTGGCATCCTTGTTCTTGTCAGACAGTCTCACCACAAAGTAAACGCACAGTCTTGTGTGAGCTCGGTCCCGATTCTATTCCTATTTTCTCTTCCTAAAAAGGTGCTATGATCACCTGCTAGAAGCACAGCGGGGGACGTGTAGCTATGGATGCCAAAGACTTAACATTAGGCTGCCATAAATCTGTTCCGTTTACTGCGAGAATGAGAACAAAGCTGGGAGAATGTTACCTGAAGTGGAATAAAAAGTTTCATTGATGGTTTTCTGGTCCAGAGTTTCTAATCAATCGATTCTATCATGAAAACTTTGAATACATTCAAAGCTATATTAAAGTAATACTTAGTGCTGCTTTAGTCAAGGATTAAGTCTCACATCAAGTCTTGAGATGGAAGGCTTAATTTAGAAAAAAATATATATATATTTAAAGTAATTAGGCCAGAAAAAAAAAAAAAGCAGGTTTAAAAAAAAAGGTGTCAAAATTTAAATCTAGATCTGAAAAGAGTCCAAACAGAAGTAGGAAAAATAGAGAAGTTTCAAATGAAAAAAAAAGAACATATTTTGAATTTGTCACGGCTAAAAAAACAAAAGCAATTTCTTGAAATGTAAACATTGAAAGCAGTTTCAGATCAGAATTTAGCAGAGTCCATTTTTCATCCACACTGGATAGGATTTATATGTTATTAAATCCTGCAAGATGTCAGCAAACCACAATCTGTACGGGAACACAGACGAAAAAAAAAATAGTTATATACAGAGGCATAAAAGATGCTGTTAAATAGGAATGTCCCAATCAAAAGCTAATATTTAAAATCGGTCCGATATCAAGAAGAAAAAGAATATAGAAATATATCTGCCTGCCTCTAAAATCTAAGCAATCTGATGGAAACATTTCTGCTTCTCTTTAAACTTTCTGTAACTCATTGGTTTATAATAAATAAGAGTTTTTCTATCTATTGTTGTTGATTGTTTTTCTCTGTTGGGAGTCGTATGACTTGGAGTCTTTCCCAACATTGCACACTGCAAAAGGCTGGCGGTAATGTAAATGAAAAAGTTGTAGTGGGAAATCCCTACTGTTCCAAACATTTTCTTTTACCAAATATTTCTAAAAATGGAAGAAAAATAAGAGTTACTGTTGCTGTAGCTGCAAGAAGAGAAGCCGACACCCAGGAAGTTTTTTTTTTAGGGTTTACTGACCCCAAGAAACAACTAGTCTGTCAGAAAAAAAACTTTGCATGAACTTAAAGAGATGACTTGGAGAAAAAGCCTTAGTTGTTTATTTTCTGTGAGATGATGGAATTCATTTTGAAAAGGAAATGATACTTTTATCATGTGCTTCTCTGCTATATTTAGTATTTATTTTGGCTTTATCCAATTATACCCTCTGCTGTTTTGGGGGGGCATTTTACCTTAACTTGACATCATCTAAAATGTGCTTCCTATAAAAGTTAACCTTCAAAAAGAAGTAGAACTTTAACAGATAACGGCAGACAGAAAAGGAGATTTTGTTTATCCACTAAGGCTTATAAAACAGCCCAACTTAGACCAGGTTGAGTTCAAAATATCAACCTAATTGGTAATAGAAGGCTCAAAGTACAGACTAAAACAACATTTTTTTGGGGGGGGGGGGGACTCCTTTTCCCCAGAGGTTGTGACATCACCTCTACACATTATAAATACTGCGTGCTCATTGCAGAAATGCTGGAAAAATATAAATGCTTTAAGTTATACCTCTAAGAGAATTTGGTAGAGAAAATGTTATTAGCAGGTTAAACGTTTATCAAACAAAACGCATCCGTGCATCAATGGCTGCAAGCCATTTAATCATGCAACTGCCACTCTTTACAAAGTATTCTCGTCTCCAATGGATAATTAATTCATTTTTAGCAACCAAAGTTTTGGAATAGGGCTGCTTAATAGCAAAAAAGGATAACCACGTTTATTTTCACTGAGATTGAGATCTTGATTATTTAACATAACTATTCATAAACTTAAACATGAAAAGTTTGAACATTAAAAGCTGCTTCTAAACAACGTTATCTGTTGTATGTCAAACATTGAAAACTGTGAGAGACAAATGAAGAGAAGTTTTGGCCTGAGAGGGGGTAACTGGAACATTTTTCACCCAATGGCTGCAGTGGCCGTGATATCCCAACGAGAGCTTCATCTATTTGAGTTTTATGACCAGCGTTTGCTTTGTTTCTGTCCGCATGAACCACCGGGTGTCCCTCAAAGCAACGACACAGATCATCAGCAGGAGTTAAATCTGAGGGTATCTAGTAAAGAAACCTTTTTTGTAATAAGATTTAATCTTGAACCTGATGTCACCAAGCAGCTGCGTTCTGCCTCGCAGCATCAACCACCGGAAAGGAGGTGCAACGCTCTGCTTTCAGTAGTTGCTTCACATTTCTTTGTGCAGGTGGATTTGATGGGGACTTAATTAAGACGCGTTTAGAGATTGCTTCCTTAGGGTTACTGGGCTTTCTCTAATCATTTTAAAACCAGAGAACTTGATGCATCCGGACAATGGTGCCTCTGGAGCAATCTCACAAAAATGTAAACAGTTCGGAGGAGATACTACGCACAAGCAGCTTATCTCATCACATTAGACATCTTCGTGACATCTCAGAAATTGACTTTCAGATGGTAATACCAAATAAGGACACTGTTCACTTAATTACCGCCTTTACAGCAGAGCGCTGCAGTGTGAGTGCCGTCCGCAATCAGAAAACAGCAGGAAAGTAAAACTCTTAAGGAACAAAATAATCGATCATTTCATTTGAAAATCCAGATCATTTACAAGGATCATGTAGGCCCATTGCAAGAGTTTTTGCTTTAAACAACCAAACTTGGAGAGAATAATGGAACAAGAATATTTAAACAAGCATTGAATGTTATTTGACTATTTTTGGTCTCAAATTTAACACCAATTATTTAAATCAGTGTTTTTTATTGGTTTATATAAGTGCACTCAAATTAAAACGCATGCAACCACGATGTTAGCCTTTAGTAATTACAGAGCAGTTCTAATCAGAGCAAGGGGACAAAGTTAGGATGCAGACGGCTCAGCAAGTAAGCATTTTCAGGCAAGCATTATGACAGAGAGAATGTGAGTTAAAGTGAGCAAAGAGAGCCCAAAAAACTAATAAATTTGTCAATAGCACTCAAAATTATCATTTTAAATAAAATAACAGTTGCTAAAATAACAGACTAGGAGCAGCCCTAGTAAATATACTGATGTTACTGAAAAATAAACAAACACTAATAATGATGTTAATAACTGAAGCTTTTGCAACCTGTGGTCCTGAAAACCAACCCCAACTTTGGGAATGGCAGATGAGTGAGACTGCATGTTAATGAAAATGTTTTAGTATAAAAAAACAAAACAAAAGTGGGGGTGAAAATCTTATACGAGGAATGGTGGTTAAGGGGTAGCAGAAAGAAGAATGGGGGCGGGCGGAAACTGAGCTCTTATGCTCAAGGGGCAGTACCGCAGAGATGAGTTGAGAGCCAGTGGTGAGAGGATGGGGGGCCAGATCCTCTGGACCCTGCAAGGGGAGACAATAACAGCAACAATAAACTAAGACAAGGAAAATGGAAAAGGGGGAGGGAGTAAAGTCTGGAAATATGAGCCAGCATAAAACATCTCTGAACATCTGTACACTTTATAATGTCCTGGAGAGAGTTGCCTCATTTAAAGAACTCTTGTCTGCTGATTTATAGTCTTGACAGATTAAAATGTCTCAAGACCACTGGAGAAGGGTTTTTTTTTTTTTTCCTCCGCCAAAAGATATTAAAATCTCAACAGAATAAAATTTGAGGCACTTTTATTTTTTTTTCTGAAGGCAGCATTTTTGTTTTGTTTTGTTTAATCTGTGGCTAATAATAATAAAAGGGGAGCTGCTTCAGTGTATCTTTTTAAATGAGGCAGCTTTAGAGACAAAAATATATATATTTTTAAATGTCTCAGTTACAAATTTTTAAATTTTTTGTCCACATTTTACATTAAAACAGTCTGCCAGCATTACTAATAAAGATTTATGTAGAATTATATATAGACACTCATTAGATTGGTCCAGATCTTTGGATCAATCCAACCTAAGCTCATATTTTAAGATACAATTTAAACGTCAACGTTTATTTTAATAGTATCAGCTGTGCCATAAAGCTGGAGAAACACAACCTAAGCTTTATATTTTCCCCTTGTTAGAATAGTAGAGGCTTGCAATAGTAGAGTATTGCTATAGCCCCATTTACACTATCCTCTGAAAGCCAATCTGTGCCGATTTTGGAACAAGCTTGGATCCGTTAACCGTGCCGAGGTCGGCCCGTTACGATAGGGTGACCAGATTTGGGTCACTTTTCAGAGGGTAAGAAATATCTCCTTTTTTTTATTTTAAAAAATCTTTAAGAATTAACAAGTCTGTGGGTCACATGACCTGGAAGCTATAGAAGTCCCACCTTTTGTCTTTAAAAATATCTTAAAAATTGAAAATAGCTTAAAATTAAAATTGCATAAAAGCAAGTATGCCATACATATGTTATCTATAGGCATAATTTTATATTATTTTCGTCTTAGTTGATCATAAGATAAGGAATTTAATGATTTTTGTTTCTTAAGAGCGCTTGGTTCAAAGATTTGTTGACATCCCGAACCGCATCACTGCGTGTGGGAGGAGGGAGCAGCTGAGAGACGCTGGCCGACATCGAGGTGCCTCAGTCGGACCAACGGTTTGCTAGATCCTGCTGACTGCGTGGAGATTAAATATTCAATATCCGACTTCAAACCAAAATTCACCGCTGTGCTGACGGCTCAGTTCTGCTGCACTGTAGTCGACTAAAATCCCGGACGATTTTGAAATTCCCCCCAAACATTTTTTAGGTATGAAAAGTATGACATGTCCAGGAAAAAGGGGACGTCTGGTCATCCTACCTTATGACCATTTACACACCACGCTAGCACGGTTCCTCGCCTCCTAGTAACGATCTTCAATACTACTGCTCTCTAGAGCAGTGTTTTTCAACCCTGGTCCTCAAGGCACATTGTCTGCATGTTTTAGATGTTTCCCAGCTTTCACACACCTGTTATCAATTGATAGCAGATTATCACGCTTTGTACATGTCAGACTTAATAATATTACTTTAGCGATAGTTTCAAGGTG